GAGCCGGCCCCGCCCGAGGGCGCGGCCCCCGGCCCGGCGCGCCCTTTTCCCCAGCCCGACCCCCAGCGCCCGCTGATGCCGGGCCACTCGGGCGCGGGGGGCGAGGGCGGCGGGGGTGGCGGCAGCGAGGGCTGGGGGAGTGGGCGCTCGGCACCGGTCAGCGGCTCGGTCACCATCCCGGTGCTGTTCAACGAGTCGACCATGGCGCAGCTCAACGGGGAGCTGCAGGCGCTGACCGAGAAGAAGCTGCTCGAACTGGGCGTGAAGCCTCACCCGCGCGCCTGGTTCGTGTCCCTCGACGGGCGCTCCAACTCGCAAGTGCGCCACTCCTACATCGACCTGCAGGCGGGCGGCGGCGGCCGCAGCACCGATGCCAGCCTGGACTCGGGCGTCGACGTGCACGAGGCGCGGCCGCCGCGCCGGCGGCCCCTGCGGGAGGAGCGGGAGCGCACCCCTGCTGCCGCCCCGCCGCCGCCGCCGCCGCCGCCGCCGCCCGCGCCCCCGCGCCTGGCGCTCAGCGAGGACACGGAGCCGAGCAGCAGCGAGAGCCGCACGGGCCTCTGCTCCCCGGAGGACAACTCGCTGACACCGCTGCTGGACGAGGTGGCGGCGCCCGAGGGCCGGGCGGCCACGGTACCCCGGGGGCGGGGCCGCAGCCGCGGGGACAGTTCCCGCAGCAGCGCCAGCGAGTTGCGGCGCGACTCGCTCACCAGCCCGGAGGACGAGCTGGGGGCGGAAGTGAGCGACGAGGCGGGCGACAAGAAGAGCCCGTGGCAGCGGCGGGAGGAGCGGCCGCTCATGGTGTTCAACGTCAAGTAGCACCCGGCCTGGCGCCGCCTCCGGGCCTGCCCCCGCCCCCTCCGCCCGGGCCCGCCCCCAGGGTGCGTGCTCCCGGGGGCCGCGGGGGCCCTCGCCCTTAGCCCCGACTGGAAAGATGCCCGGGGGCCTGCGTAGCTGTCAGGTGGTATGTGCTGGGTAATGTCTCGGGAGGGACCCGTATCTGCCTCCGAGAGGGAGGTGGGAGGGGTTCAGACCCCCGATGGGAGGTGCTGGGGAGGAGGGCTGGGTGGGGGGGAAGCAGTCAGTGCCTGCATAAACGTGGCTGTACATAGAAAGCTCTATTGTGGGAAAGCAGGAGGGGCACTTGGGCCTCAGCTGCTAGTGTGAGGGCTGGGAAGGGAAGGGCGTTCTAGTGGACCCCTGGGAGGGGAGGGGGTGCTGCGTGCCGACTAGCCCACCTCTGGGCTACGATGTCACAGGGCTGGAGGCTGGGGCGGCTCTGGGGACTAGGGGATAATGTGATGGGATCGCTGTGGGCAACAGCAAATATAAAACTGGTGAGATAAAACTTCTGTGTATCTTTCTGTGAGGTGGGGGGAATGTGGACACTGGATGGAGGCCCTGGCTCCGGGGCCCCCTGGAGAGGGCAGGCAGGGTGGCCAAATCAGACACTGTTAAGAAAGTGTACAAACTTTACTGCAGCGCGCACACGCACACACACACACACACACACACACACACACACACACACACACACACACACATGCACACCTGTGGATAGGGAACAGCACCTGGCCACAGGGTCCACGGAAATGGGGGGAGGGGATGGCAGCTGGAAACGTGGCTTTTGCCACAGCCCTCCTTGGGATAGGGAGGGCCTTAGACTGAGGCCCCGCCTCCCAGGATGACAGGGGTACTCAGAAATGGGGGTCTGGGAGACTGTGGCGGCCGAGAGGTGCTGGGGAGGCCTGAGCAGCGGGCACCCTCTGAGCAGGGTCCCAAAGGCCACGGAGTGTCTTCAGCCCTCGGTCCCTCCTCACAGCAGCTGCCTCGGGGCCGGGTCCCTCTGAGGAGCATCCCAGCGCACGGCTTCCCGGAGCACACACTTGGTGCCCTTGGTCCCACAGCGGAAGCCAGAGGGACAGCAGTGACGCCTGTCCGCACAACACATGCCCTGGATGGTGGGAGTGGGGGGTGAGAGTTGCGGGTGGCAGGACCCAGCCCAGGCCCACACCCGGCCCCAGGGCGGGGGTGGCACTGACCTGGCGGTAGGGACAGCAGGCCCAGCCCCCTCGGCTGTCTCGGCAGCAGGTTTGGTTATCGTGGCAGAAGTGCCCCTTCCCACAGTCCACATTCCCCACACCCACGTGCCAGCCGCGGTCCAGGTGGGCAGCAGGGCGGGCAGAGTCCACCTCTTTCTCGCAGGATCGGGCCTTCACGTTGCAGGTGTACCCAGCTGGGCAGCAGTGCTGGCGGTCCTCACAGCACACGGCCTGGGGGGGACAAAGGGGCATTACACTCTCGACCACCTAACGTCCCCCCACCCGGGACTGGACTCCCCTGTCCTGTCCGGAAGCAGGCAGGTGGGCACTCACGTGTGGCAACTGGCAGCAGGCCCAGCCCCCGCTCAGGCTTGGGCAGCAGGTCTGCCCCACCGGGCAGCTGGTGTGCTGGTCACAGCCCATGTCTCTGGAGTGGGACAGGGAAGCCTGGCGGGCAGGCAACTTGGCCAGTCCGGTCACCACCTTGTTCCCCCTCTTACAGTGCCCCCCGGCCAAACACGTGTAGCCCTGGGGGCAGCAGTGCTGGTGGTCTGAGCAGCAGACAGCCTGGGGAGGTGGCAGAAAAGGGTGGTCTAGGTAGCTACCACGGGATGAAGCACTGAGCCCCCGCTGCCTCCACTCTGCCTCTCCTGCTCACAGTTCCTCCAGCTGGGAATGACTCTGACTAAGCTGGTGCCACCCGTGGGCCAGGCAGAGGGCAGGAGAGCAAGGCAACAGGAGCCTGGCCATGTGCTCAGGCCAAGACAGCGTCCCTCCCCCCAATACTCTCCCCCTTTCCATGCACCTCTGGGACAGGACAGCAGCCCCACTCCCCAGACGTGAGTCGACAACAGGTATTAGAGGAGGGACAGCTGGTGATGTTATCACAGGGGACATCATTCTCCACGGCTCGGGGGTCCGGCAGGCTGACGTGGGCTGGGGCCTTCCTCATCCAGGGCACCCGGCGGGCCCCCTGTTCACAGGTACCCTTCTCTGTGTCACACCTAAACCCAGCCGGGCAGCAGTGCACGTGGTCCTCACAGCACACAGCCTAGGATGGAGGGAGAGGGGACGGTGGGCCTGGGGGGCCTAGCTGGCTGCCACCCTCTGCTCAGCCCAGGCCACTCACCACTCCTCGGTACCTGGGCAAAAGGGCAGCAGCCCCAGGCCCCGGACAGCAGGCGGCAGCAGGTGTAGTCGTCGGGGCAGCTCACCTCCATGTCACACTTCACCTCCTGCACTGTGAGGCAGGCAAGGAGGATGGGTCAGCAGTCAGCTGGGAACCCTCAGGGGTGCCCTCCCTTTGTCAGTTCCACAGCTAGAACCGGATGTGAAGGATGGAGGGTACCGCTCAGGCCACCCCTGGCAGTGATCCTAAGGCAAGGCCCAATGTGGACGAAAGGGGGCTGTCCCTGCCCTGGCCCCTCCGTGCGGCCATCAGTCCCCAGCCCCATTTCTGCTCACTCCTCATGGTGCAGGTGGAATGGCGGCGTCTGTGGCCTTCCCCGGTACCTGTGTGTGCGGGCAGCTTGATGAGGAGGTCCGTAGCATTCTCCTTGGAGAGGCACTTACTCTGGATCAGGTCACACACAGTGTCCTGGGGGCAGCAGTGCAGGTGGTCGGAGCAGCAGATGGCCTGGGTGAGGGCAAAGTGGTCTTTGGGATTTCCAGTCTCCCTAGAGCTCAGGGAGCAGCCAGGCCGACAGCTGGCACTGCCCCAATCCCCCACTAGGGGGTGGCATGAGTCCTGAGCAGCCAGGCTCCCACCCCAGCCAGCCAGCCCCACCCCTTAGAGTCCCTGCCTGGTAGGTAGGTGTCCAGGCCAGATGGCTGTGGACGCACAGCCCAACTGGCTACAGCCCCTCACTCACACTGGGCATCGGGCAGCAGCCATACTTTCCACTGGGCAGCTTGCAGCAGGTAGAACCATCAGGGCACTGGGACTGTGCATCCGGGCACATGACCACTGGAAGGAGAGAGAAAGGTGAGGGGCAGCCAGGGTGGAGGGGAATGTCTCCCCAGCTAGGAGTTAGATGAGGCCTCTCCTCACTCCCAGCTCACACCCCGACACTCTCCCACCTCCTTACCTGGCCTTTTAGTCTTTTGGGCAGGGATCTTCTTTGCTAGGGGGTGGGTGCCTGTGGCCGTGAGGCAGAGGCCACGAGCCAGGTCACAGGAGGTGCCATGAGGGCAGCAGTGCACCTTGTCTTCACAGCAAGAAGCCTGAGAAGAGATGGCCCTGACTATGTCTTTGCTCCCTCCAGCCCTTCCTCTGCCCCCACTGCCCTCCTCCTTCCCCCCATCTTCCCAAACTTGTACCTGGGGCATGGGGCAGCATCCCCACGAGCCATCAGGCATACTGCAGCATGTGGAGGAGTTGGGGCATTCGAACTGTCTGTCGGGGCACTGGACGGCACCCAAGGGCTTGGTATCTGTGGACGGGATGACCCAGGATTCCACCCAGTCAGTGAAAGTCATTCCTCCCACCACTCAAGGAGCTGCTGGCACCAGGGCCTGCAGGCCCAGCTACAGGAGGATTCGGGGGCTGGCACTAGGGCTCAGGGCTCCCCCAGGCTTTCCTAACCCACTCTCCCCCAAGCCAGTCCTTGCCGCAGCAATATGGCACAGGGAAGAGGCATCCACTGACTGGGTAGGCCTTAAACCAGGCCAGCTTGGCCCCTCCCCACCCACACAATGCTTGGCCGTGGGTCTGGAGTCTTACATTCTCTCTTGACCCCTCCTCGCCCCCGTGCTGCCCCTCTCTCCAGAGCAGGGGGGCTGCTTAGTACAGATGTCACGTGAATGAGGACACGAGGGCAGGAATCAAGGTCACCCAGCTGGCGGCACTCCTGGGTGCTCCAGGCTCTATGTGCTGCCCATCTGGCTCACCTGATCTTTGGAAGCAGGACCGCCCGTCAGCACTGCAGTGGAAGCCCTGGGGGCAGCAGTGGTGGCCATCCCCGCATGACACGGCCTGTGGGACACAGAGATGCCTTCGTTGGCTAGGCCCATTTCCCTGAGGGTGGGAAGAGAGTGCAGGAAAAGTGTAAACGCAGACCCAGGCCCTCCATCGACCTAATGGCACCCTCACCTCTGGGAACGGGCAGCAGCTGGAGGTCCCCGAGATAGTGAGGATGCAGGAGTAGCCAGGAGAGCAATGGGCATTGGTCTGGCATGGTGTGCCCAGATGCCGGCTCAGCGCCGTGGGCCACTTGTCCTGGGAAGCAAGAGGAAGGGATAAACCGAAGGACCCGAGCCCGGCCCCCTCCTCTGGCCAATCCAAGATGAACCTTTGGGAAATCCCAGGCTTCTAGCTCTTGCCTGGGTCGAAGGGCACTCACCGGAACGGGATTGCAGCAGCTGTAGGTAGCTCCTCTCAGGTCCAGGCAGCAGGCCACAGGGCAGAGCTGACCGTCTGGGCACTGTGTTCCAGCCACCAGCCCTGTCACTAAGGCCACCCAGCTCACCAGGGTCCACATGGTCCACCTGCAAAATCCCTAGAGGCATTTGGCAACCAGCTGAAGCCCAGGCCACCCTCGATTCTGGGCCCAGTCACTCCCCCCGCCCCAGGCTCAGGCCGAGCTGAGCCTCCCCAGCCACACCCTGTCCAGACCGGAAGAAGGATGTGGGGCCTGAGATTCAGTTTCCTACGTGTGTCCTGTGTGGGTGTCACACGTGCACCAGCGCGTGTACACCCATGAGCATGAACGCTGGCATGAGCACGTGTGTGAATCTGTGTCCCCACATGTGGCCTAACACCTGAGTCTCTGTGGCTGAGTGTGTAGAGACGTGGGTATGTGAGTCAGGAAGATTTGTGGGGTTTGTGGGTCTGATCTGTGGGGACGTGGACCACCTCCGAGGGGTGGGGAAGGCATCAGTAGCCATGAGAGGACAGGGATGGGGTGCAAGGAGGGAGTCTCCCCTTGAAGAAAAGCCAGGGTTCCACTTCCCGAGCCAGCCCCTCTCGATGTCCGATGCTGTGCTCACACCTGCACCCTGCTAAGGCCTGTTGGCGGGGGAAAGGGAGGGGAGGACACTTGATGACATTGGCAACCACGGGGTTGAGAAAGTTGTGAAAAAGGAAGTGCGGTGCCGGTGGAGCCTGGGCTGCCTTCCCCAGAGGCCAGCCACCACCTGCCCACTGACTGTCGCCTCCCCACCCAAGGAAGGGGATACACAGGCTGAGTCAACCTTTGGGACACCTGTGTTCTAAGGGCCCCCTGATACCACCAGGCCCTTTCAGAATCCCCAAACATACCCCCCTCCCTTCCCCCCACCTCTCCCTGCCCTGGAGCCGAAACCCAGCTGCATGTGGGGAGACCACATGTTCCCACCGGGCTGCCGACCTGCATCATCAGAGGGAAGTAAGCCTCGGTCTCTGGAAGGAAGCAGCCTTTCACTTCCTAAACAACTCTTCCCCCAAGCTCAGCCAGCCCTGCTAGCTCAATGGGGTGGGCCCAGGAGATGTTACTCTGCCTAGAGGGGCCGAAACAGTCATGTTTGTTGAGCCTCTTAGGAGCCAGTGACAACACTCTATATTATTTTCTTTCTTCTTCGCAACAACTGTCCAAAGTAGAAATTATTACCTTTACTTTTCAAAGGAGGAAGCTGAGGCTCAGAGATGTGAAGTAACTCCCCCCTGTCATATGTCGAGACTTAGAGATGACAGGCTTTGATGGCTCCAGACTATACTGGACCTGGGTTCATTTCACAAGTGGACCATGGGTAGCGCTTGGGAATGGGACCCCAAACCCCAGGAGGAGAGAGGCCTGGGGTCCAAGCTGAGAAGAGGGGCAGAAGCGCTTCCTGGACAGGTGGACCAGGCCAGGACAGAAACACAGAGTACGGGGCCACCTGGATACTGCACATGGGTCCTAGTCCTAGAACTGCCACCGTTGACTATGAGAGCCCCAGAAGTTGCTCCCTGTCTTTGGGCCTCAGTTCCCCATTAGTCTGTGTGTGGACACTGCACACTTTGTATGGCAGGGAATCGCACACACCCAGTCACTCACATCCTCTCTCCCTCACCTGGTTTTCCTCAGCGCCCCCCCTCCAGCTCAAAGACCATCCCCAGGAGGCCATCTCCTGGCCAGGTAAGGCTGAAGAAGACTGGTCCTGGACTGCGGCCCCTTTCACCCTCTACACCGATGCCCACAGCCCCCCACCCTGCAAGGCATCTACAGCCGGCCGCTGTAGGAGTGCCTGTCTGCACACATCTCAGACTACTCAGCGCCCTAGTGATTCACTTGCATATATTCTTCCTGTGTATCCTGAGGCTCGGGAGGAGAGCGTATGCTTCTCCCGGATATACGTGCGCGCGCGCGCACAAACACACCCAGGACCAGGGATGGGGGAGGAGGGGACCCAAGTCCTCTCAGCAGGGCTCCCAGTGGTGGCCTCCCTCCTCCTCCCCCCCTACGCTGCCACCGCAGAGAGGGTCTTCTTCAAGCCCCCAGCTCCGCCATCTTCCGCTAGGGGGCAGCCCCCAACTCCGAGTGTCAGGAAAGAAAGATTCCCAAAAGGTGAGCCAACCCAGCAGCGAGAGAGCAGAAAAAAGTGGCAGGGGGAGGCGGAAGTTAGCTCGTCCCACCCCCACCCCCGCGAGAGGAAGCGAGAGAGAGCCAGACACAACCCAGGGGGTTCAGTCACCACTCCCAAGTCCCTACTGTCTTCGAGGTGGCCAGCGTCTCAAGCCCCGTCCCCAGCCCTCCGAGCTCGGGGACCATGGGCGGGCGCCTCGCCGGCTCCCGGCCGCCGCGGGGACTACCCACCAGCACCAGCACCTGCCGACGGGGGCGGAGTCGGCTCCAGAACGGAGTAGTCTCTGCTTTGGGGGAAGGGGCTGCAGGCCCCAGGGGTGCTGGAGAGGGAGAAAGCCCCTTCGAATGGGGGTTACTGCAGTTACTGCTTATTCCCACCACCCATAAAACGCCTTCCAGTGCATCGGAGTTTCTCTAAGGGAGTCTTTTCTTGTCTCCCTGATGAAGCTACAGAGGAGTCTGAAGCCCCCACCTCCTCCTGGCTGGGCCCCTGGGGAGGAGCAAGCGAGAGGTCTACGCAGCCACCCTCCTTACCTGCGTCGGGGTCGGCGATCCCTGGGAAGCAGCGACCGGGCAGCTCACCAACTTGGCCCCCTCGGCGCGTTGGCCCACCCACCTCTGTTTCCATTGGCCAGGTGTCCGGGATGTCGCACTCCCATTGGCTACTCATCGACGTAAAGGCGGGGCCAACCTGGGAGGCTGTGCTGCTTTTCCTACTCAATTCGCTCTCCTCCCCGCCTTCCTCTCTCTCCCCAGCCCCCCATTTCTAGGGATCATGTGATTAGGGAATCATGTGATGCCGTCGCCTGCTAAGCCTGCCTGGTGGTGCTCGCCTCGCCGCCTCCTGCAGCCCCATCCCGAGATGGGCCAGCTCCTGTCAGGGGATATTGAGAGCCAAGAGCTGTCCCTTAGAGGGTGCGTACAAGAGCATTTACAGGATCTCTTGGATTTGGAACATTTGTGCATCCTGTTTCTATTCTAGTCAACCAACTCAGATTTAATGCTGGGCAGCCGGGCCCCAAAGGGGAGTGAAGGAGTAGTGAGGGCAAGGATAAACAGCCCTCAGGCCCCTTCCTCAAGGGGCTCACAGCAGGGGGTGGGATGGGGTTGGAGAATCGGGAGCCAGGTGCTCTAGGTGTGTGTAAGGAAGACGTAGTAGGTTGGCTCTAGGCAGGGAAAAAGAGGTTTAAGTGCCCTTGGGGGCACTTTTTTTTTTTTTTTTTTTTTTT